GGGCTGGTTAAGGATTTCCAGAGGAGGTGGTGGTTGCAGTGGGTCCTTGAGGATAGATAGGATTTATCTGGAGTAAGGAATTCTAGTCAGAGGGAACAGCATGGGGTTCCAGAAAACAGGAGTATTTCCATCTGGCTACCACTTCCGGTGTGGGGTGGTAGGTGGCCAGACTGGGAAAAGTCTCGGGGATCTCCTGCCTAGCCTAGTGTTTGGTGTTCTGGCGCTTGAGGTCCCTAAAATTCCTGGCAGAGAAAAACTGGTCTTGGCTCACGCAACTTTCTTGAAGCTGTCTATGATTAAGAAAGAAGTTTATGTGCCTCTAATCATGGGGAAGATTGTATGACTCCCCTGGAAGTGGGGATTTCACTGTTCCTTTGACTCACCAGAGTCTTAGACAGCTGACAGGCTGCTTTATTCTTTGAGTAAAGGTGGAATCTGGTTGGGCCACTCGAGTCTGAATTCCCGTGGGCCCTTTGAAGGAATCTCTTGTCCAAGTGCTTTGTTATTTGGGCCTCAAGGGGGTTTGTGCCTTGCGGGGATTGGTGGAGTTGGTGATGGGTGGTCAGGATTTTGGGGTATATGTGCAAGTATCTGTGTTGTGGAAGTGGGTGGCTTAGTTAGGTTCTTGCTCAAAGCCCCTCCTGACCTTTGGCTGGGTTTTTCTTGATGAGCGCAGAAGGTCGCAGGTTGCCCTGCAGCTTTCCTACCGCAGCCCTTTAGCCTCTTGGCCCTGGCTGGGTGAGCCTGGTTGTGTTCTTTTTGATCTGTTATCTGCTTTGTGTTTCAAAGATCCTTTTAGTTTTTCCCTCACCAAGTGCTCTCATCTAGGTGGCACCTTTCAGGGGTTCTTTTTTTAAATTGAATTTATTGGGGTGACACTGGCTAATAAAATTATACAATTTCAGGTATACAGTTCTACAGTACATCATCTGTATATTGTGTGTTCACTACCCCAAGTCAAGTGTCCTTCCATCTGTATATTGTGTGTTCACTACCCCAAGTCAAGTGTCCTTCCATCACCATTTATCCCCCTTTTACCTTCCTCTACCTCCCCTTACTCCTCCCCTTCTGGTAATCACCGTAAGGGGTTCTTTTGATTTAAGCCACTGTGTTGGTCATTTCTTTCCTCTGGGCCTTTCTAACTAGCCATGCATCCCATGCAAAAATTTTTGTCTTGTGAGTCGTAGGAAACACCAGAAGTTTGGAAAAGGGGAATGATGCAGTCCTCTGTTTT